TCTCAAATTTTGAAGCAAGTCTATTAAAATATCCACATTTTGATCAAAATATAGCCAGTTCTCCCTATCTTTTTTTTTTTTTTTTTTTTTAGTCAGAGTCTCACTATGTCGCCCTGGGTAGAGGGCGGTAGTGTCACAGCTCACAGCAACCTCCAACTGTGAAGTGATTCTCTTGCCTTAGCTTCCCAAGTAGTGGGACTACAGGTGCCTGCCACAACACTCCCCTATTTTTTTGTTGTTGTTGTTGCAGTTGTCATTGTTGTTTAACAGGCCCAGGCCAGGTTCGAACCTGCCAGCCCCAGTGTATGTGGCCAGTGACCTAACCACTGAGCTGCAGGCACTGAGCCCTCTGACCACAATTTAGGTACACAGTAACCCAGGCTGAACCATGTAGACATCCCTGGGGGACTGTGGAAGCCACAACCTGCAAGGAACCCAGGATCCTAAATGACCAGGGAGAGCTGACTCATCTCAGATCTTCACACAGGAGGAGACAAACCTCTCTTTTATATAAGGTAATGCATTCTTGAATCTCCTCCTTATAAAAGCCTAGGATTATCCGAACTAATGTAGGAATGATTATGAGGATGAAATTTTTTTCATATAATTGTGGCCTCAATGGAAATCTGTTGTCATATTGAAAATGGAAAGAATCAAATGTTACTATCTTACGTCTTCAAGACATTCACATCAGATTCTTATTTACACTTTCATATGCATTATTCACACCTATTTATGCCACAGAGCTTGAGGTAGAACCCCAAGGCTAATCTACACATCTATGAGAGAATTTACCATGCTTTAGCTATAATCTGAGCAACCGCTGAGCTCTGCACCAAGTGTTAAAGGCAGCAGAAAGGCATAAGACCAGCAACACTTATCAGAAAACACAATTCAAGAAAACATATATGGCTGGAAACTGGAATGAATTCACACCAGAATTTATGCCAATTAAGGAAGTGCTTATTTTATAATATATGCTAATAAAATGAAATTATAAAAAGAGAAGCCCAATGCATTCTTCTTGGTCTTTAGCTTTCTGGATCTTTATGCTCTAGTAGGAGTGATTAATTGCCCTGCCTTCCTTGGCTCTTAGAACGTCACTCTCCTGACTTCTTCCCTGTTTGCAACTTCAATGTGGTCTCTTGGAATCCTCTTCTGTTTGAGCCTGTGACACCCTGGTGTTTCCCAACACCATGTTTGGCTCATTTCTGATTCAAGCCCACAGTATCAAATGCCATCAACATGCTGAAGACTCTATCTCCCAGCAAGACAAAGTTCCAGAGTCTCAAAACTGCATACCTACTGCCAACTAGAAGGTATCACTCGAATGTTTCATAATAGCTCAGGTGCAGCACTGAAGCCTGTACTCAGGACTTCCCTCTCATACCTCCCTACCTCTGTGCAATCTATTCCAGGAAGGGCACCACCACCAGCCAGACACCAATCAGAATCCTGAGTACCATTCCTCCCACCTCATAACCCTGTCCAATCTGTCACCAAGTACCATTGACCTCACCTTGCAACTTTCTCTAAGATCTGAGCCCTCTCTCCATCTCATAACCCTGTCCAATCTGTCACCAAGTACCATTGATCTCACCTTGCAACTTTCTCTAAGATCTGCGCCCTCTTTCCATCTCTGCTGCCACTCCCTAAGTTCCAACCTCCATTGTTTATTCATTCAACAAACATGTATCACCACTACCCCCATATGCCAGGTACTGGCTGAGGTGATTGGGATACAACAGCAGTAAACAGAAACAAAAACTCCTGCTGTCAGGAAGCTTACAAGCTAACCTGGGGAAGCAGACAATACACAACGAGCACCAAAAGTCTGTGTGTGTGTGAGTGTGTGTGTTAGCAGGTAATAGCCTGGAAATGGCCTGACTTTACTGGGGTTCCTGCTCAGTCTCACTCAAAGTACGTGTTTATAAGGATAAATCAATTGTCATTGTTTTCTGAGATGGAATTAAAGAACCAAAGATGGAACTAAAGCAGGGTGTGGGAGACTAGGGGGGTAGGAAGAACTGCCTTGTCATTTTAACTGGAGTGTTCTGAGTAGGTGTTATTGAGAAGGTGACATTTGAGCAAAGACTTGAAGAAGGGAAGAAAATTTGCCACACAACTATCTGTGGGAGGAGCCTACCAGAGAGAAAATGGTCAGTGCAAAGGTCCTGAGGTGGCAGTGCTGGATGAGCCTGGGAAGGAGAGACCAGCAGTGTTGCTGATGCAGAGTGAGTGAGGGCGATGAGTGGAAGGGGAGGTCAGGCAGGTGGGGGGCAGAAGAAGGGCATGTAGGCCTTGTAGGCCATTTTTAAGGATGTGGCTCTGACTCCAAGCAAAATCTCTCCTCTGGATCACTAGCCCTCTAATAACATAAACAATGCAGCCAGCTTCCAATCCATCCTCCACACTACAGCTGTCAGACCTTCATCCTTTCATCCCTTCACACCCCAGCTCCCTGGCTGCCTGTAGCCTGCAGCCCACATTCCCTTGCTGGGTGTCGCGTCTGCAGCCTCAGATGACCTAATTCCCACCCACCTCTCCTCTCCATGCTCCATGTGAAATGAACTTTGAGGCCCCCAACTGTAAGCTGTCCAGCACTCTGCACTGCACAGGCTCCAGCATGGCCCAGGGGCAGCTCAGCACCAGTGTCTGCCTGGCCTGCTCCTGCACAGCCTTCAGCCCATTCCCTGGGCAGGCTGCTCTGATCAGCCACCCCACCCTCCATGCTGCAGGCCAAGTCGGGTTGCTCTCTTCCAGCTTAGGCCTCAACCTATTTCTCTCCACTTCTACTTCTTGCTCTTCTTCCATTTCTTTGTCTTCTCTCTCTAATGCTGCAGGCTACCCTTTACTGAGGGCTGGCTGTGCCCTAGGTGCCAGGTGTGTCTCCAGAGGTGAGTGGGCCCTGGGGGCAGCACAGCTACCCTTCCGTGACTCCTTAGAACCACCCCCACTCCCGCTGGCCCAGCCACAAGCTGGTCTTACTGCTCTTTCGATCACAGGCCCCTTGCACTTGATGTTCCCTCCATCTGGAGCATTCTCTCCCCAGATCTTCCCAGGGCTGGCTCCTTCCCATCACTTAGGAGCTGCTCACATGTCACCTCCTGGTACATGAGCCAGGTACATACCACCATACCAGGCACATGATAGAATAAGAATAAAATTTGTTCAATAAATGCTGATTGAGGCTTAGAGCCCATAGCACAGTGGTTACCGTGCCAGCCCGGGCCAGTTAAACAACAATGACAACTACAACAACAAAACAGTCAGGTGGTGGGTGCCTGTAGTCCCAGGTACTTGGGAGGCTGAGGGAAGAGAATCTCTTAAGCTCCAGTGTTGGAGGTTGCTGTGAGCTGTGATGCCATGGCACTCTTGCCAAGGGCACCATAGTGAGACTCTGTCTCAAAAAAAAAAAAAAATTAAAAAAAATAAATAAATGCTGATTGAATATTTTTTCCTCCTTGGATGTAGAAAATGGTATTTAATTCATATTTATGAATGCAGAATGGCCATTTACTAAACACGGTATAAGAATGGCTAATGACTTCAATGTTGGCAATGTAAGGGTTAACACGGCACCTCTTTCACAAAGCACCCAGCACTCACAAATAGGCTACTTCTACTACAGGAACTTCCAGCATGGGTGGAAACTCCGGGGCCGCTGGTGCGCTGTGATGACCAGAGCTCCTGCTTGATCCAGGTCACCACACCCTGCCTGCTGGCCCAAATACTCCCTTTCACTGGGTGAAAATTACTAATTTATGATGCTGAAATAGCATCTGGGAAGCCAGCAGGCACTGCTGGTGACTCAGATCCCATAGTTCTGGAGGAGTGAGTGCCCAGAGTGGGTCCACTTCACGGGCGATCCCACTCGCTCTCACCCTAAGTATGTGTTTACAATGACAAGACAACTGTCCCTGTTTCCAAAGATAGAACTAATTAACCAACATTAATTAATCATGTACATTCTACCTTTTTTCCACAAAGGATTTAAGGTAGCTTCTAAAAATACAGACTGTTGAATGAATTAGAACTAGGCAAAGGCTAATGAGGACAGGCAACCAGGGCACCTGTCTCTAGGAACCAGGGCTCTTAAATGGGAGCTCAGAATTGGCCCCATCAGTGAGTCCTGCCAACACTGTGACAGAATGAAGGGTCCTATAAGACCAGCTGCAAAGTGCCACTTTTAAAGAATGGCCCTGGCCACAGTGAGACAATCTACAGTTCTACTAGGCTGGCTCTGCCTGGGGCAGGCTGGCACCCCAGAGCATTCCGTCAAAATAACATCTTCTCCACTGAGAGCTTCCTGCGTCTCCTGACCTCATTCAGTAAGCTCTGCGAGGATGTGATGTGCCCCCAGACACATTTGCCCAGGCCTGGCCCATCATTTTACTGCTAACTGCGCCTCTAATTGTAGGGTCATGCCATTTTCATATACACAATTTCCACTCTCTATTTAATCATTTTTCATCCTAAGGGCTTTCTACTAAGAACAGGCTGTCTCCACTTCTGTGAAAAATTAAAATGTTGAATTAATAACTTTATACTCACATGGCTTTGCAACTGCCAACAAACAATGCCCTGTATCCCCTCACTTATCCCCCACCCCAACCCTGCGTGGTGAGTATTGTCATCTCCACTTTGGAGATCTCAGACTGAGGCTCAGGGTCACCAAAGGACTTGCCTGCAGCTGCCAATGGAGCAGCTGAGCTGGGGGGAAGACTCCTTGCCCAGTGCTCACTGCAAACTGAGGAGGAACAGTTGGGGGGCGTGGAGGGGTGGGCCTCCAGCTGACCTGGGCTCAAACCTCACTCTGCTTAGGTTGTCTGAAACAGGTGTCCCTGCCTCTGTGCACCCTAGTCTTTTCAATTCTATAATTGCATTCACACTCAAAACTGCTTTGAGGGTCAGGCTCCTGCAAATCGTATGTGCTCATCAAGTATAGGTCACTCCTTTATCCTGTAATTCTCTACTGGACAGGACTTAATAGATTCTTGAAAATGACTTTCAAAAAAAAAGTAGAGTTTACTGGGGACAGAGCCTCATGCCTATAGTGTCAGCACTTTGGGAGGCTAAGGAGGAGGATGGCTTGAGCCTCTGAGTTCAAGACCAACCTGGGCAACAGAGCAAGACTTTATCTCTAATTTAAAAAAAAAATGCAATTTACCTATTAGCCACCAGAGTGCAGTCAATTTCTGGTCGCTTTGTTTTAGGAATGACATACAGTGGGTACCTGTCCCCATGGCGAATGAACACATTCACTGAGACCAGCTTAAAATGATGTGGAGCATGACCTGTAAGAGAGAAACACATTGTCACCGCTCAATAGGTGTCCATTCTTCCAGCAGGGGGTTGCAGGGGCAGTGAGTGGGCTGCATCTGTGCTGAGAGTCCAGGAAGGAGGCAGCAGAGAGTTTGCAGAGCCCCTGTGCAGCGACTCTGCCTCAGGGAGGGGCTGCTGGGCCAGAAGGGGCCAGTGAATAGCCTCACGAGGCAGGACAGAGGAATGTGAGAGGGCTGGTGATGTCCCAGACCCTCCCCCCCCAGAATAACAGGATGCACTGGGGATGAAAAGGCAGCGAGAGGAGGGCATGGCTACTAATGTGACTCACTCACACACACAACCAGGGGGAGGTCCACCAGACACTGGGAATGGTGACTTCTGCCTCAAGTCTTTCATAAAAGAAGGCAGGGCATAAATAGGTAAATACTCAATACCATCCTCTGATATCCTTTCAGAAAAACAAACCTTGACATAGAAATCGCACTTCCCACAGCTTTACAGCAAGACTTAAGTCCTGAGAATCTACCCTGAGAAGCAGATAAGCTAAGGGGCTGTCCTGAAGCTTCCCGAGGCCACCTTTTCATTGCGCTGATCTTACTGAAGATCATGATAATAACAAGTGGGCTGATCATGAGCCCTGAGCTCCTCAGAGCTGTTATCTGATCCTCTCGTCAGTCCCAGGTGTGGTACTGCTAGTAACTCCCGTTTTATAGATGAAGAAGCTGGGGCCCAGCAACTCACTCATGAGCAGGGCCTGCTGGTGACTGCAGGGTCTGAGCCCCAGCCACCTTGCCCTTACCTCTGTGTTATGCTGCCTGAAGAACTAGTTCCCAAAGGGGTGATCAGCAAGGCACCGAGTCCCAGGCGCAAAGGCCAAGCGGGGCAGCACAGCCAGGCCTACCTTCCATGGTGCGCTCGGCCACGCTTGGGATGTTGCAGTACCAAAGGGCTTCGTAAATGGGGTCTGTCACAGGGGGCTCTGTCACCGGGTCGGGCATGATTCTCTTTCGACTCTTGCTGCTCACTCCATTCTTAGCTGTCGACACTGGGATCAGGTGGACTGCAAGGGAAGCAAAACAGGTCACCGTGCACAGTCATCAAGGCACCAGCCAGCCCGCAGGGGCCAGTGTGGGGCCGGGCCTCACTCTGAGTAACTGCTGTCTCCCTCAGAGTTGGGGCACACCTCAGTGGGGCAAGATGGCTGCTTCCCAGCCAAGGAGTGTTTCCTGAGCCCCCAGTGTGCCCTGCCCTTCTCAATGCCATTACCATCTCTTCACCAAGGTTATCTAGGTGATGCTAGTGGGGCCTCCCAGAGAAAGGGGTTGCACTCAGGGCAGTTTGAGGAGTAATTTACACACTAACTTTGGACAATCTGCATACCTCACCCTAACACCTAATTCCAGTAACAAGAACAAGGAAGAAAACCATCACCACTTACTACCCACTAAGTGCCAGATGTGGGTGTCTGGCATACCTCATTTAATATCATCTGTTTTTTGCTTTGGACCCCACTCACTAGGTCTCACAGCAGAGAGCCTGAGACCAAGGCAAATGTGGTGGATGGAGCCTACCCCTGATCCAGGCTGGCTTCCTCAGTGCAGTCTTCTGGGTGCCATGTGTGGGTCCTACAGTCTGTACGTCTGTCCATGTAGCACCCTCTTTCCCTGAGTGAGCCAACCCTTCCCCTCTATGTGTGGTCCGAATGGACTGTCCATCACAGTCTCCACCCGTCAGGGGTGCACTGTCAGTATTCACCCACTGAGGGAAATACACAGAAACAAGTTTGCTCATGGATCCATTTAACTTCTAAAAGGTTCATTAATCCTCATAATACACACAGATGTACATACATGTGAACGATAGCTAAAATAGGGACCAATCACCAAGCTAAACGAATTTAAATCCCCTACTTTCTTCTACAAATTCTTCTGCACGAATGTTTAAAACTTCCTTTTGGCAAAAAGATGCCGTAAACAAATATAAGAGATAAGCAATACACTGAAAGAAACATATTTGTAACACATATAACAGACAAATGACTGACGTCCATGGTATGTAAGAGCCCCTACAACTGAGAATCATTAAAGGATATGAACAGGCTAATTACAGACACAGAGATACCAGTGGCCAATAAACACGTGAAAAGGTGCTCAAGTGTATTCATAATTAAAGAAATATAAAACAAAAGAATAGGATACCATTCCCTCCCCGCCCCATCAGACTGGAAAATGCTTTAATGATAATATCCAGCATTGGCAAAGGTGAGAGAATCCTGACACTTCCTAACACTGCAGGTGAGAGCGGGAATGGGGACAGCCTTACAGGAGTGTTTGGCAGCAGCCATCAAAATGTTCTAAGTGCATCATCACTGATCCCATTATTCTACACTTTGGAATCTATTCTATAGAGACATCAGTGCCCCCCACACACGTACGGCCACAAAGATTCACTGCAGTGCTATTTGTAATAACGAAAAGGGAAATACCTAAACATCTATCACTAGCTGAACAGGATGTTACGTCCACACTGTGGGATAATCTACCCCAGTTAAAAAGAAAGGAAAAGAATCAAAGATAAGTTATGGAAAGTGAATAAACCAAGTCACTGGATATTGATGTAATTCTCTGTGTATAAAGGAAAAAGAAACCATAAATGTAAGAATATACAGGCACTTGCTTATTACGTAAAATCACACCAAAAATGCCTAGAAGGTTACCCAGCACAACACAGCAGTGGTTTCCTTTGGGGAATGGATGGAATGGGGTGTGAAGAAGTACTTTTACTTGTGTGTGTGTTTTTTTACAAGTGTCTGTACTGCTTTATATATCCACACACATACATACAGACAGTTGTGCGTTGCTTTACAATAGGCACACATCCTGAGAAATGTGGTAATTAGGTAATTTCATCACTGCTCAAACACTGCGGCATGCACTTACACAAACGCAGATGGGACATCCTGCGACACACCCGGGGTACATGGTACATCCTATTGCTCCCAGGCTACAAACCTGCATAGCATAGTATTATACTGGATACTGTGGTCAATTGTAACACACTGGTAAGTGTTTGTATATTTAAACAATTTAAATGTATCTAAACTCAGCAAAGGCATAGTAGAAACACTGTATTGTATGTGGCATATACATAGTTATATATTCTATATATAAATATACATATGTGTTTATCTATAATGCCTAGATATACTTTTTTATATAATAAGCATATTTCCACTCGTTACTGTGTTATCAAAACGACAATCATAGAACCACAGAATTGGATTCTGAGAATTCTGAGTTTTGCCAACTCAGAATTAGCCCTTTTGGTGCTTCTAAGAGCTACTTTCTTCCCAGCAGCTGGAAGGTACTAGAATAGCTAACTATACAGCTCCAGTATCAGAGGTAATTTATTATACAGGGATTAATACCTGAGCAAGGGACTATGGAAAAACAGGTGTCCTAAGGCAGATGACCTGGCCCTTCTGGCTGGTGGCACCAATCAGCCCTTGATGCTGCTCCTTTATGAAATCTACCAAGTTCTGGCTTCCTGGCCATGCCTGTGGGCACACTCTCTCCCGTGGAGCCGGGGCACAGAGAAGAGCAGCTGGGGAGCCAGGGTAACATGAGTGGTAGAGGGGCAGAATGTCCCAGGGTCTCACAGTTTGCTGGGTCATCTGTACACACACAGGGTGAGGCTTGTGGGAGCTGCTACTTGGGAACCATGGTGGTTGGTATAAATGACATGCCCATGACCCAGAAATGCAGAGGTTTGAGAGGCACAGATAAAGATCAGATAATGATCAGAACAAGACTTCCCCTCCAGGAAGATTTGTATTGGCGGTTTCCTCGGGCATCTGGGCTGTCAGCCTTGTCCACTAGTTCGGTCTGTGAACTTGCCCCAGGCTATTTGTGCCTCCCTAAGTCACCAGAATACAGTGCCAATCCAGGAGGGGCCTTTGCAGGGGCCCTCCAGATACCAGGCATCAAAGAAGGTTGATGCCGAGAAGCCGCAGGGTAAGAAGCCTCCCAGCTCCATCTTAACCCCTCCACCTCAACTTGGTTCTCATTGTTCTGAACTTCAAAGTCGCCTCACCCCCGCATGTATTTATCATTCACACTCTTCCATTTACTTGCAACTTTACCCTCAGAGCCCCCTCTGCTCCCCAAATCTGGTCAACTCCATAACTGATCCTAGGGGACACCTCCTCCAAGAAGCCTACCCTGTTCCCCAAGGCAGTTTCATGTCCTTTTCTGCGAGTCCACTCAGTTCCTGCTGCTGTCACGGCTCACACCATTGGGGTATCTTCGTATCACCCTGCCATCCCCAGTGTGCAGAGGGCTGGGAGTAAGCCTCTTTCAGGTTTATATCCTCCACTGCCTGGCAAAGCACATGCCTTCCAGAAATCCCTTCTGAACTGAGCCAAGCGCTGTGCTCCATGCTTCTGATGAAATATCTCAGTGAGTCCTCACGTGGAGCCCTGGGGTTCCTAACTCAAGAGAGCCCTCACAGAGAAGACCACAGCCAGGCTGAGCCTGGATGTCTGAAATGAAGCTGGCTATACAGGGGAGAGGAGAGGGCCAGACACAGCAGACAAAAGTCACAGGCTGGCTCCAGACCCACCTCAGTCCCCTGTGGGCTGACGCACAGGCAGCCCTGGGAGGTGGTTGAGAAGGAACCTGGGGGAGCAGGTCCTGGGCTGAAGGCTGCCTCTGCCAGGTGCTGTGCCACTTGCCACGTCAGCCCTCTGGGCTTGCGTTGCTCATCTCAACAAAGGGGCAGGACAGCTAAGGGCTGGGGCAGCCTGGACTGCAGGACACTGTAGGTCCCCAGCTCCTCCAGCTGCTGACCTTACTATGTAGATGATGCTAGCACCTTGGACATCAAAGAACAAGAGAAAGGGACTGTGGGGCATCAGAAGGAACAGTGGGGTTGGGCATGGTGGCTCACGCCTATAATCCTAGCACTCTGGGAGGCCGAGGCAGGTAGATTACTTGAACTCATGAGTTCAAGATGAGCCTGAGCAAGAGTGAGACCCCATCTCTACTAAAAATAGGAAAACTAAGGCAAAGGGATCCACTTGAGTTATGATGCTATAGCACTCTACCAAGGGTGACAAAGTGAGACTGTCTCAAAAAAAAAAAAAAAAAAAAA